ATGCATTTGCGATTTGTACATAACATTATTGCTGGTATCATGTTGTTCTATTAGTTGAAATAAACTTATTATGATTCATCTAAGTTTGTTAGGTAACTCATTTATGACCCATTGAATACTCATTAGGTAATCCATTTATCACCCATTTATTGTCATGAGTTCTAGACCCATTTTACATCTCTAACTCTCTCTCACGCTCCACAACCAGTGCTCTCAGTAATTCGTGTTTATTCTCACATTCACACCAGCAGCTAGAAAATAGACCTGAGAGAATCGATCACCAACCAGACCGACGTTGCCCTCACCCTCTCCAAGCAGCTCCTCTTGACCCAGGCCGAGGACTCCAACCTTGTCTTCTCTCCCCTCTCCATCCATGTCGTGCTTGGCCTGATCGCCGCTGGCTCCGTAGGGCCCACCCAGGACCAGCTCCTCTCTTTCCTCAAGGCCAAATCCACCGACCACCTCCACTCCTTAGCTTCTCAGCTCCTCACCATCATGCTCGCCAACGATAGTGCCGCCGGTGGGCCCAAGCTGTCCTTCGCAAACGGCATTTGGATCGATAAGTCGTTGGCTCTCAGGCCTTCTTTCCAACATGTGGTGGATGCGTCTTATAAGGTGGCCACTAATCTTGTTGATTTCAAAACCGAGGTTAGTTCTTGCTCTTTTTTCCGTGTTTTTTTTTGGGTTGAATACATGTGCGGTTTTCTTGGTTTCTTTGGTCGGATGGTTATGAGAGGTTGAGTGTCTGTGCTTAGGAATTTAACTAGGTGGTGTTCTACCTGTTTGCTGTTTCATGGGTTTAACACTCTTCCGTGGATTGAAATGTAAGAGTTTGTTTTATTTGTAAAAAAGCTTCGAAAATCATTTCCTCTTCTAATTTTTCTTTTGGTTCGGGATTTGAAATCCTGCTTGTAATTGGTTGACTCGTTCAACCAAACCTCCCGGAATGGAACATCTGGTTTGGTTAAGGCAATAGCTCTTTCTTGTTGGCTTGCTTTTCTTCTAGGTGTGAAGTTTACTACAAACAAGCCCAGACAATATGTAAATCCTCTAAATTGAGCTCATTGTAACCTTGGGTTGGAGGCCTACATGATGAACATAAAAGGGTAAATTTGATGAATGGTCACAAAATCTGGTAAGCTTCAATGAAAAAAGGTCAATCTAGATGCGTTGGTCAATTGATTCTCCCAAACAATCATATAAAATTTACTTAACTAGGGCTTAGGTGACGTTGTTTGAAGCTATCAAGTTAAGAGGGACCTCGATCGTGCCCTGTAGATGCATTTACGAGAATTTCCTATTCTCTGTCATATTCTAAGCATGTTGAAGCCGTAAACTTTATGCTCCCGGAATGCAATTCGCTAGTGCAACAAGTTTTACCCTCCTAACAGAGGCAAATATTGATATTGCACCGGGCTCCTGTGCACTTCTTACCATAGCCATAGATCATATAAATACAGAGAAATAGAAATGACCATATAAGGAAAAAAAAATTAAGCATAGCTATTACAGAATACGCTGCCCTCTAGCTGTACGAACCCCAATCATAGGTTACACTGTTATTTCTAATTGGGTATTTGCAGACTTGTCATGATCAAGCAATTTCCGGGTGGCTGTAGAATGGAGTGAGATGTGTCATTGTAGATGTTTATGGAAAATATAATTGTAGATTAGTTCTGCAGCTTGTGCTTGGATTCCACGCTGTGCTTAACTTAAGGATCTTGGAGAACTTACTTATCATGCAATCACCATGTTAAAGAACATCTTTTGTAGTCAAATACTTCAAGTAGTGCAATATCGACTAGTCAGACTCTCACATATGTTCCGTGAGTACTAGTATGTTGCCTTTGTTAGGAATTTCAGCAGTCCTCTGTTTGAATATCAGTCTTTCACTTTGTTGGTGCATGGAGTTATAGAAACATAGGGTGACCGTTTTTTGTAGGGACATCTTTGCTGACGGGGTTACCCTTTTTTCTTGTACCTATTGTTTTCTTGGTTCTCTAATGTTCCTTTTGTTGCCTAATTCTCTATATCAATGGTTCGTCTATACTACTTTGAGTTGTGAAATTGATGCTTTTGTTCTTTCTTAAGTCATGGTTGAGAATGTGGTTATGTGCTAATTAACTTTAGTATTGACCCGTAACTTTCATCCCTCCATAAATGGCTCGGATTCCAATTGAATTGGAGTCTTTTCTAAGTTCTTTTACATGACTTTCCTTTCTATTTGTTAAACACTAGCGTTAGCTGCTCGCTTTTTGTGTCACCTGGTATTCTATGTACTGATTAGAAGAACCCATTAGGCTGTTGAGGTGACTAGCGAGGTTAATGCATGGGCTGAGAAGGAGACCAGTGGCCTCATAAAGGAGGCTCTCCTGGCTGGCTTAGTTGACAGTTCAACTCAACTCATTTTTGCGAATACCCTTTACTTCAAAGGTGCTTGGAATGACAAGTTCGACCCTTCAAAGACAAAGGATAATGACTTTTTCCTTCTCAATGGGAATTCTGTTCAAGTTCCCTTCATGACTAGCGAGAACGAGCAGATCCTAGGGGCTTACGACGGTTTTAAAGTCTTGGCACTTCCTTATAAGCAAGGGGAGGACATGCATAAGTTTTCGATGTACTTACTTCTTCCAGATGCGAGAGACGGACTTCCAGCTCTCGTAGAAAAGTCGGTTCTGAATCTGGATTTCTGGATCGCCATCTTCCCTACAAGAAATTGGAAGTGGGGGAATTTCGAATCCTGAGATTCAAGATATCTTTTGGATTTGAAGCTTCAGAAGATCTGAAGAAGTTGGGATTGGTATTGCCGTTTTCGAGTGGAGGAGGATTGATGGAGATGGTAGACTCTCTCAATCTCTATGTCTCAGCCATATTTCACAAATCCTTCATTGAAGTTAACGAAGAAGGAACAGAAGCAGCCGCCGCTTCTGTTGTTATTATGAATGGGAGTTCGCGTTTTTCGGAGAAGATAGACTTTGTCGCCGATCACCCGTTCCTGTTCTTGGTGAGAGAGGATATGATTGGCATGATATTGTTTATGGGTCAGGTGTTCAATCCACTAGCTGACTGATTATAAGTCGAACAAGAGCGTTAGTATTCCTGACTATATTGGCAATAAAACGAGAGAATGTATGGTTTATTGCATATGTTTTGATGTATTAATTCATCAATGCACAATTAGGGAGGACGCAATATCTTATTGTATTGTATCAATTATCATCACATGTTCATGGACATGTATGTCTTCCCATCTCTTTGCCCCTTCTATTTTTTTTTTTCATAATAAAAGTATAGGGAATAGTTCTTTGATAATTCAAGTTTTTCTTTTGATCCGGAAGTATCTGTGCCTATAAACACATTTGAGATTTGCGCGATCAAAATCGAATACTTCCCAAATCAGCATTGAGTACATGTACTTACCGCGTCTTGGATTCTCACTTCGCCTGTCGCAGCTGCGTGAATGAAGAGACCTTATTTGTCCGTATACTTTGTGTGGCTTGACTTTGTGGATGTCTCTATCAAAAGAAAGGAACACAACACAAATGCTCTCTCAAGCCGAGCCCGAGGGACTCGCGAGCCGCTTGACTCACTTTTCGCCCCTATCCCTTGCTTTTCTTTTTTGAGCGGGCAGGGGAAAGGGTGTTTTTATGGGGAGGGGGGGTTTGTTTTTTTAGGATGAAGGCCTGAATCCTCAAAGATGTATTACTTGTTTTGTCATAGAAGTATTTCAGTCATTATCTGTTTTGGTGAAGCCCTTGTGCTCACACTTGATATCCTGTTCTCCCGTGGCACTTATATTATTTCCCTTAGTTGTGATATTAATTTATTTGGTTCAAATTGCTCCCCCTCTTCGCCTGCAGGGATATTTGACGCTATCGGATAGTGGATGGGCTGAGAAGCAAATATACCAAGCTGCTCTCAATGGTAATCGCATGCAGAAAGACGATTAAGTTACGCCATTGTCAATTAGTTTATTATATGGGCACGGTAGCTATTAAAGTTCATTGGTCAAATGCCTCTCGCTGTCTACGAAATCCCTCCTCTGAGCTAACAATTTGCATAGTCACACAACTACGCATAGACGAGGTTGAAGCACTCTTGTGCTGCTGCAAGTCTGATTAATCGAGGCTGATTGATATGCGGGACATTGTACATTCGTTCTCTTTTAATGTCGACACTGAAAAATCTATGTGCGAGTCCCGTGCAAAGCTACTATTCTTAAGCTCTATCTGATTTTGGTGTTCTAGCTTTTCTATTCCGGTGCAGAGTTGAATTTGCCTTCACTTGCTTTGTCTAGGTGAACAGGGTTTGGTCTCCTTTTTCTTCCCTGTGCCCGTGTCTCAACATCTCTAATCCACTCAAAACAAATAAGAGCAGGGAAAATGGAGTGATCCCTTAGGTGGTGAGTTCAGGACACTAATCTTACAAGCCTTCCTACATTGATGCAATGTTGACTTTTCCTCTGGAAGTACGATTCTCGCAAATCTAGAGTAATGGGGTATGCCCACGATAGGTGATCTCTGGATTTTTTTACTTTGGCCCTGTTCCATGATTCCATCTATGTATGAAACTCGTAATAATTATGATTTGAAGATGGGTGATGTCCATGATGATTCTTCTGATGCACAATTTAAGGACAAGTTGGGCAAAACATGGGTCGAGGGAGAGGGATGGCTTCAGATTCCAGGTTCCATTAGACAGTAAAATACTCTCCTTGGCGCTCCGTATGAAGCAAGATGATAGGTAAGACAGAAATGGAGTGTGCTATTGACCGATGCCGCTTTGAAAATCACTCAACCTTGCCTCACAAACCGGTCTAATTGTGTGCTCCTCAACTGGTGTGCTATTTACTATGGTAAGCAATTCCATATCCCGTGCAAGCAATTGCTGGGTACGAAGAAAAGCAAACCAACCCATGTCCTTGCAAGCAATTGCTGAGTTCGAAGTAAGCAAGTTTTGATGGCTCATATAGATCCAAGTGAATTGAATTGAGTCTATGCTTCCTGCAACAAGACAGTACACCTCTCGCGTTATTCCAGTTCATCCTCGTTAAAAGTCGACAAGAATTCCAAACTTGTGATGGACATGATGATTCCACGATGTCGTTTTCCAGGATTTACGAACTATAGCCAAACAAGTTTTCATGAGACAATGAACCTACAACCGAAACAGCAACAACATAGAAGACAAACAGCGGCAGCAACAACATGAAAGCTCCCACCTTGAGGTCGAACGTCAACTTTAGGTTTCAAAGCAGCTTTCTGATTGAAGATAATAATGAACTCTTTGACCTTTCCATTTGCGCTGCTTCTACCAATGCCATCTTGTTGACCCGTTGGCGATCCCTGCGATGCAACCTTTGTTACTCCTTCCTTGTTCGAACTGCGAAAACCATCTTGTTTCTTTACTCCTTCATCAGCATCATTCTGCCCAAAAGACTGTTCAGTACTCCTCGAACTTTTAGATTCTGCTTCCTTCTTCCTGTCTGCCTTGACCTCATTACTATCTGCAACAGGAAAAAAGAGATGCTGAATTCGAGATTGCATGGAAAGATAAAAAAGTATTTGCAAAGAACGAAGAGGTTTTAATTCGGGCTTGGATAGTTCTTCCTCTTTCTCCATAATCTGACGCAAACCTGTCTGGGGCAGAGCGTGGGATTTTGTTTCTCCTCTTATTGGATGGCATGGCATCACTATGACCATCTGCGCTGTTCCTTAAGCTGCTCGAAGTTTTTGGTCTGCTAATACTGACGCCTGCTTCTTCAGCAGCGTGGCGTGTTTCCGCTTGGACTTGTAAGCTTGATTGCTCCATTGTCACAGGGGAGGCTGGAAGATGATGAGGTCAATAGAAGTTAAAACAAAGGCATTAATCGGAAATGTTTTACCTAACATCCTGAAGCGATTTCTATAGAGTATCCTTTTGCAGCCAAAAAGATGACGCGGAAACCATTTATTCAATATGATCGAAATTTCCAAAACTAGTTTTCTTCTGCTGTAAATGGAAAGCAAATTGAGACACGATAGCACCACCCTGGAGTCACTTTTTTCTCCTGACCTAGCCGTCTCACAACCAGAGCTCTCAGTAACGCGTGTTTCTTCTCACGTTCACACCAGCCACCAGAAAATGGACTTCAGAGAATCTATTGCCAACCAGACCGACGCTGCTCTCGCCCTCTTCAAGCAGCTCCTCTTGACCCGGGTCGAGGACTCCAACCTCGTCTTCTCTCTAAAAGAACAAAGAAATTTGATTCTTGATCTCAACGTACCATTGTTGAGATAATTTTCATTATATATATTACAAATGTTACAATTCGTAAGGAAACAATACAACAATGAAAATAATAAATGAAAAGATCATTATATTATAAGAGTTGTGAATCACTTGATTTTAGCATCTCCAAGAATTATCTCGTGATTTTGATTGATATCTCTATATACTTCTTCGTTGATCGATAAATCGGTATCTTTACTTCCCCCTCAAATTGGGAATAGGAGAATCCCAAATTTCAATTTGCGACATAAGTTTCCAAATCCATTTGTAGACAATGGTTCCATGAAGATCAGCAATTTGATGCACAAACGGGACATACTTAGACACAAGTGTTCCAAGAGCCACCTTTTCTCACACGTAATGATAATCTAATTCGATATGTTTAAATTTTGCATGAAACACTTGATTAATCGACATATAAAGTGCACTGATATTATCACAAAATAATATTAGTGGACTAGAGAAATGAATACCCAAATCTCTTAAAAAGAATGATATCCATGGAATCTTTGCAGCTGTCGATGCCATTGCATGATACTCTGTTTCGGCACTAGATCGAGCAACCGTTCATTGCTTTTTAGCACTCCATGATATACAGTTGCTACCTAAGAAAGTACAAAATCCAGAAGTCGATTGTAATTGCTGGACAAAAGTCCAAAAAGGCTCTCGGGCCTTCTTTCCCACAGGTGGTGGATGCATCTTATAAGGCAGCCACTAATCTCGCTGATTTCAAAACCAAGGTTAGTTCTTGCTCTTTCTTCTGTTTATCGGGTCGAATACATGTGCGGCTTTCTTGGTTTCTTTGGTTGGATGGCTCCGAGAGGCTGAAGTGACTGTGCTTAGATATTGTGACTAGGTGTTCTACCCGTTTGCTTTTTCATGGGTGTAACGCTCTTCCATGAATTGAAATGAAAGCGTATGTTTCATTCATGAAAAGAGTTTTGAAAATCATTTCCTCTTCTAATTCTTCTTCAGTTTGGGATTTGAAATACTTGTAATTGGTTTGCTTGTTAAACCAAACCTCCCGGAATGGAACATTTGGTCTGGTCAAGGCGATAGCTCTTTCTTGTTGGCTTGCTTTGGATTTCGCCTGGGTGGGAATTATACGCCAAACATGCACAAACGGTATGTAAATCCCCTAAATTGAGCTCATTGCAACCTTGTGTTAGAGCCCTACATGATGAACATAGAAGGGTAAGTTGATGAATGGTCTCACAAAATCTGGTTAGCGTCAAATGAAAAAAGTTCAATCCAGATGCGTTGGTCAACTGATTCTCCCAAACAATGATACAAAATTTACTTAATCAGGTATTTAGATGATGTTGTTTGATGCTATCAAGTTGGAAGGGAGCTCGATCTTGCCCTGTAGGTGCATTTGCAAGGATTTCCTATTCTCTGTCATATTTTAAGCCATATCAAAGACGGAAACTTTATGCTCCCAGAATGCAATTCGCTCTCCTAACCTTCCCATTCATTATCAATGTACTGATTTTCCACATATTAACTACATGGGAATTTGTAGCAGAGGCAAATATTGATATTGCATCCGGCTCCTGTCCACTTCTTACCATGGCCATAGATCATATAAAATACAGAGAAATCAAAATGACCATATTAGGAAAAGAAATTTGGCATAGTTATTACAGAATACATTGCCCTCTCGCTGTGTCAACCCTAATCACAGGTTACGCTGTAATTTCTTATTGGGTATTCGCATACATGTCATAATCAAGCAATTTCAGTATAGCTAAAGACCGAAGTGAGATTGTCACTCAAGCGATGAGCAAGTTATTTTACTTGAGTGACAATCTCAGTAAATTGGAACTCTTTGTAAAAACAATTTTGATCATACATGTAGATAATGCTCGAAAAGAATCAATACTTTGGCGAAAATGCAGAATTTAGCAATGATGACAGCCTTAGCTGGGCATATCATTGTGCTTCGTAGACAACATATACAGGTATACTTGTCCGACGAATAGTTGACTCCTGATCATACAAATTAGTTTCTAATATTGCAATGTGCGAATCGATGTACGCCGGCAAAAAGAAAGATTTTTATATTGTATGACAAACTGAAAGTTATTGCAGTGAACAAGATAACACATTGGCCAAATAATCGTTTTTCGACGGCCACGATGGCAGCCTTGTAGCGGGTGCCCACCGCCCGTTCGAAACAATTCCGGAGAGGCATGTAACCGGCAACCCAAACGCCATTCTGGATCGACAGTTTCGGCCCCTCTGTGCCCCTTCCGTTAGCTAACAGGTGTTGAGGTGGTCGATGGACTTCGCCTTGACGACAGAGACGAGCTGGGCTTGAGTGCGTCCGATGGGGAGCAGGCTCAAAACGGCGAGGATCGAATGGCGGATAGAAGATGACGTTCCAGTCCTCGATCTTAGTTGGGAACAGGTGCTTCTCGAGTGTCAGAGCGACTTCGCCCTGGTTGCAGGTGGATTCTCGGAGGCCATGGAAAATATTGTTGAATGAAGAATAATGGAAAGAGCATTTGTGTCCAGACTCACCCTCCGTGAAAATGAATTCAATGAGTGTGGTGTTCCCTTTTTTTGATAGAGACATCCACTAAGTCAAGTCACACAAACAAAGCATACGGACATATAAGCTCTCTTATTCATGCAGTTGCGAAAGGCGAAGGGAGAATCCAAGATGCGGAAGTACTTGTATTCAAGCTGATTTGGGACGTACTCGATTTTGAACACGCAAATCTCAAATGTGTTCATAGGCACAGATGCTTACGGAAAAAAAAAAACTCGAATTATCAATGAACTAGATGCAATATTCCCGATACTTTTACTCAGAAAAAATAAATAGAAGGGGCAAAGACATTGGAAGACATAGGTGTCCACGAACATGTCATGATAATTGATACAATACGAAAAGATATTGCATCCTCCCTAATTGTGCATTGACCGATTAATACATCAAAACATATGCAATAAACCAAACAACCTCTCGTTTTAGTGCCAATAGAGTTAGGAATGCTAATGCTCTTGTTCGACTTATGATTAGCTGGCTAGCGGATTGAGCACCTGACCCACAAACAACACCGTGCCAGTCATATCCTCTCTCACCAAGAATAGGAATGGGTGATCGGCGACAAAGTCCATCTTCTTCGGAAAAAGCGTACTCCCACACATAATAACAGCAGAAGCGGCGGCCGCTTCTGTTCCTTCTTCATTAACTTCAATGAAGGATTTGTGAAATATGCGTGCGACATAGAGATTGACGGAGTCCACCATCTGCGTCAATCCTCCACCCGAAAATGGCAATACCAATCCCAACTTCTTCAGATCTTCTGAAGCTTCAAATCCAAATGATATCTTGAATCTCGGGATTCGGAATTCCCGCACTTCCAATTCCTCGTAGGGAAGATGGCGATCCAGAAAGCCAGATTCAGAACAGACTTTCTCCACGAGAGCCGGGAGTCCATCTCTCGCATCCGGAAGAAATAAGTAAATCGAAAACTGACGCTTGTCCTCCCCTTGCTTATAAGGAAGTCCCAAGACTTTAAAACCGTCGTGAGCCGCGAGGATCTGCTTGTTCTCACTAGTCATGAAAGGAACTTGAACAGAATTCCCATTGAGAAGGAAAAAGTCACTATCCTTTGTCTTTGAAGAGTCAAACTTGTCATTCCAAGCAGCTTTGAAGTAAAGGGCATTCACAAAAATGAGTTGAGTTGAACTGTCAACTGAGCCAGCCGGGAGAATCTCCTTTATGAGGCCACTGGTCTCCTTCTCAGCCCACGTATTAACCTCGCTAGTCACCTCAATAGCCTAATGGGGTTCTTCTAATCAGTCCATAGAATACCAGGTGATACAAAAAGCGAGCAGCTAATGCCATTGTTTAACGAATAGAAAGGACATTCATGTAAGAACTTAGAAAAGACTGCAATTCAACTCAAATCCGAGCCATTTATGGAAGGATGAAAATTACGGGTCAATACTCAAGTTAATTAGCACGGAACCACATTCTCAACCATGACTGAAGAAAGAACAAAAGCATCAGTTTCACAATTCAAAATAGTATAGAGGAACCATTGATATAGAAAATTAGGCAACAAAAGGAACATTAGAGAACCAAGAAAATAATTGGCACAAAAAAAAGAAGGGTAAGCCCATCAGCAAAGAAATCCCCACGAAAAAGGGTCACCCTATGTTTCTATAACCCCATGCACCAACAAAGTGAAAGTCTCAAATTCAAATAGTGGACTGCTGAAAGTCCTACCAAAGGCAACACACTAGTACTCATGGCACATATGCGAGAGTCTGACTAGTCGATATTGCACTACTTGAAGTATTTGACTACAAAAGATGTTCTTCAACATGGTGATTGCATGTTAAGTCAGTTCTCCACGATCCTTAAGTTAAGCACCGTGTGGAAACCAGTAGCAGAAGCTGTAGAACTAATTTCCAATTATATTTTCCAGAAACATCTACAGTGACACATCTCACTCCGGTCTACAGCCATACTGAAATTGCTTGATCATGACAAGTATGCAAATATCCAATTAGAAATGATAGCGTAACCTGTGATTGGGGTTCGCACAGCGAGAGGGCAATGTATTATGTAATAACTATGCTAAATTTCTTTTCCTAATATGGTCATTTCGATTTCTCTGTATTTACATGATCTATGGCTACGGTGAGAACTGCACAGGAGCCGGATGCAATATCAATATTTGCCCCTGCTACAAATTCCCATGTAGTAAATCTGTGGAAAATCAGTACATTGATGATGAATGGGAAGGTTAGGAAGGTAAAACTTGTTGCACTAGCGAGTTGCAATCTGGGAGCATAAAGTTTACGTCTTTAACATGCTTAGAATATGACAGAAAATAGGAAATCCTTGTAAATGCACCTACAGAGGGCACGATCGTGGTCCCTTCCAACTTGATAGCTTCAAACAACATCATCTAAAGCCCGATTAAGTAAACTTTGTATGATCGTTGACCAACGCATCTGGATTGAACTTTTTTCATTTGAAGCTTACCAGAGTTTGTGACCATTCTTTTATGTTCATCATGTAGGCCTCTAACACAAGGTTACTATGAGCTCACTTTAGCGGATTTACATGTTGTTTGTGCATGTTTGGATTATACTTCATTAAGAAAGAGCTATTGCCTTAACATTCCGGGAGGTTTCTGTTAAACAAGTAAACCAATTACGAGCAGTATTTCAAATCCCAAACCGAAGAAAAATTAGAAGAGGAAATGATTTTCAAAACTGTTTTCACGAATAAAACATATTCTTACGTTTCAATCCACGGAAGAGCGTTCTGCCCACGAAACAGCAAATGGGTAGAACACCTAGTTAAAATATCTAAGCACAGTCACTTCAGCCTCCCAGAACCATCCGACCAAAGAAACCAAGAAAGCCGCGCATGTATTCGACCCAATAAACAGAAGAAAGAGAAAGAACTAACCTTGGTTTTGAAATCAGCGAAATTAGTGGCCGCCTTATAAGACGCGTCCACCACCTGTTGGAAAGAAGGCCTGAGAGGCAACGACTTATCGATCCAAATGCCGTTCGCGAAGGACAGCTTGGGCCCGCCAGCGGCGCTGTCGTCGGCGAGCACGACGAGGAGGAGCTGAGAAGCTAAGGAGTGGAGATGGTCGGTGGATTTGGCCTTGAGGAAAGAGAGGAGCTGGTCCTGGGTGGGCCCCGCGGAGCCGGCGGCGATCAGGCCGAGCACCATGTGGATGGAGAGGGGAGAGAAGACGAGGTTGGAGTCCTTGGCCCCGGTCAAGAGGAGCTGCTTGGAGAGGGCGAGGGCGGCGTCGGTCTGGTTGGCGATGGATTCTCTCAGGTCCATTTTCTGGCAGCTGGGTGTGAACGTGAGAAGAAACGCGCGTTACTGAGAGCTCTGGTTGTGAGACGGCTAGGTCAGGAGAAAAAAGTGATTCTAGGGTGGTGCTATCGTGTCTCAATTTGCTTTCCATTTACAGCAGAAGAAAACTTGTTTTGGCAAATTTCGATCATATTGAATAAATGGTTTCCGCGTCATCTTTTTGGCTGCAAAAGGATACTCTATAGAAATCGCTTTAGGATGTTAGGTAAAACATTTCCGATTAATGCCTTTGTTTTAACTTCTATTGACCTCATCATCTTCCAGCCTCCCCTGTGACAATGGAGCAATCAAGCTTGCAAGTCCAAGCGGAAACACGCCACGCTGCTGAAGAAGCAGGCGTCAGTATTAGCAGACCAAAAACTTTGAGCAGCTTAAGGAACAGCGCAGATGGTGCCATGCAATACGAGGAGAAACAAAATCCCACGCTCTGCCCCAGACAGGTTTGCGTCAGAATATGGAGAAAGAGGAAGAACTATCCAAGCCCGAATTAAAACCTCTTCGTTCTTTGCTAAGTGATAAAGATGAACACGGTAGTCTACATTCAGAGTTGTAGCTTTTATATCTTTCCATGAAATCTCGAATTCAGCATCTCTTTTTTCCAGTTGCAGAGAGTAATGAGGTCATGGCAGACGGGAAGAAGGAGTACTGAACAGTCTCCTGATGAGTACTGAACAGTCTCTTGGGCAGAATGATGCTGATAAAGGAGTAAAGAAACAAGATGGTCGGCGCGGTTCGAACAGCAAAGGAGTAACAAAAGTTGCATCGCAGGGATTGCCAACGGGTCAACGAGATGGCATTGGTAGAAGCAGCGCGAAAGGAAAGGTCAAAGAGTTCATGAATATCTTCAATCAGGAAGCTGCTTTGAAACCTAAAGTTGACGTCTGACCTCAAGGTGGGAGCTTTCGTGTTGTTGCTGCTGTTTGTCTTCGTCCAGCTTTCATGTTGGTGCTGTTTCGGTTCTAGGTTCATTGCCTCATGAAAACTTGTTTGGCTATAGTTCGTAAATCCATGTCCATCACAAGTTTGCAAACTCTTGTCGACTTTCAACGAGGATGAACTGGAATAACACGAGAGGTGTACTGTCGTGTTGCAGGAAGCATGGACTCACTTCTATTCACTTGGATCTATATGAGCCATCAAAACTTGCTTACTTCATACTCAGCAATTGCTTGCAAAGGACATGGATTGGATCTATATGAGCCATCAAATTTTGCTTTTCTTCTTTCCCAGCAATTGCTTGCACGGGATATGGACTTGCTTTCCACAGTAAATAGCACACCAGTTGAGGAGCACACAATTAGACCAGTTTGCGAGGTAAGGTGGAGTGATTTTCAAAGCGATGTCGGTCAATAACACACTCCATTTGTCTTACCTCTCCTACTGCTTCGTATAGAGCACCGAGGAGAGTATTTTTACTTGTCTAATGGAACCTGGAATCGAAGCCACCCCTCTCTCTTGACCATGTTTTGCCCACTTGTCCTTCAATTGTGCGTCAGAAGAATCATCGCGGACAGAACCCATCTTCAGATCATAATCATTACGAGTTTCATACATAGATGGAACAGGACCAAAGTAAAAAGATCCAGAGATCACGTATTTGTCGGCATACCCCATTACCCTAGATTCGCAGAATAGTACTTCCAGAGGAAAAATCAACATTGCATCAACGTAAGAAGCCTTGTAAGATATAGTGTCCTGAACTCGCCACCTAAGGGATCACTCAAATTTCCCTGCTCTTATATGTTTTGTGTGGATTAGAGATGTTGAGACACGGGCACAGAGAAGAAAAAGCAGACCAAACCCATGTTCACCTTGACAAAGAAGTGAGGGCAAATTCAACTCTGCACTGGCTAGAACACCAGAAACGAGATAAGAGCTTAAGAACAGTAGAAGAGCTTCAGAACCGTAGCTTTGCAAAGGACTCTGCATATAGATTTTTCAGTGTCAAAATTAAAAGAGAACGAATGTACATTGCTGTGCATATTGATCAGCCTCGACTAATCAGACTTGCAGCGGCACAAGAGAGCTTCAACCTTGTCTATGTGTAGTTGTGTAACTATGCAAATCGTTAGCTCAGAGAAGGGATTGCGTCAAGCAGCAAGAGGTATCTGACCAATGAACTTTAATATCTACCGTGTCCATAGAATAACCTAATTGACAATGGCGTAACTTAATCGCCTTTCTGCATGCAGTTACCATCAAGTGCAGCGTGGTATATTTGCTTCTCAGCCAATTCACTATCTGATAGCGTCAAATTTCCCTGCAGGCGAAGAGGGAGAGCAATTTGAACCAAATAGATTTACATTACAACTGAGGTTATATAAGTGCCACGGGAGAGCAGGATGTCAAGTGCGAGCACAAGGGCAGCACCAAAACAGATAATGACTGAAATACTGCTATGACAAAACAAGTAATACATCTTTGAGGATTCAGGCTTTCTTCCTCCAAAAAGAAACCTCTCCCCCCCTCCCATAAAAGCACCCTTTCTCCGCCTGCTCAATAAGAAAAGCCAAAAGCAAGGTCTGACAAAAAAATAATAATAATAATAATAGGAAAAGCCAGGGATAGGGTGAAATGTGAGTCAAGCAGCTCGTGAGTACCTCGGGCTCGGCTCAATTATTACTCGAAATCGACTTGCCTAATTTCGAGTCTAGTTGAGTTCGAGCTCACCAATACTCCACTCGACAAGCTTGGGAGCCATATTGAGTCTAATTGAGCTTCTATTATTATTTATAAAAATATTCTACAAAAACAAAAAAAAGACATAAATTTAAATTTCACCCTCATGAATTACTTCTACTGGTTATTGGCAGGACTAAGCGTCGTGAATTTTGGGTTCTTTTTGCTGTGTGAGTCTTGGTATGGATACGAGACAGTGGACATGAATGGAGGAGCAAACGGTTTGACTTTGACTGCTGGTGATTCTAAAGCAAATGGTTTGACTGGGGTTGATTTTAATTCTAATGCAACCATGAAAGGGTAGGCTCTAGAAATTTAGCTTCATTAAGTTGATTAAAATCCCATTGCAGTGTTCATGTCATATAATCCATGGCTTCATCACCACCACTGTACTACTCTCGAACTGTTTCACTCCGTGGATACCTCTCGAATCTGCATTCATTTGTTTGTTTTTTTCTTTTTTGAGAGGGGGGTGTGTTGGGGGTTTGGGTGGTTAAAGAATGGACTGTATCCATGAATCTCTGGCTTCAGGGAAAGGGCAGAGGTAAGCTGAAGAACTTTTTTCATGGCGCTGCCGTAGAGCCTTTTCCTAATAACTAAAGAAAAGTATTAGTTAAGCTTATTTGATGAAGAAAAATGTGACCTCGCATACATAAATTACGTTTGCCAAGTTGAACCGAGACATGCGTACGGTGAAGAAGCTAATACATACCTAAGAAATGACAAAAGTAAAATAATGCGCAATCCAGCAGAAAAGCTACGAGATGCTGAAGAAAATAATCTACTGCACAAATAATATGTTGATAGGGATCCCCTTCTAGCTGTTCATGAATTTCTACAGCATTCTGAAGAAATTAACCAAGGAACGCATGCCTTCAACTAGAACGGCACAAACATTTGGTTTGCATTCCGATTAAATTTCGTCACTCCCTTCACTAAATCAACACAGACAGAAAGGATTATGCACTTCACAGAATACGCTGGAAAATTTCTCGGTTACTACACTTCAAACACAGATGAAAATAGTGCCACATACGGCTCAAATCTTAGGCTCTCACCACTCTTCTATTATAAATGTAACAAAATGTCATTACAGGAAGGAAAAAATTGCCACACTGGCTAAGTAAACCCATGAACAAACTATTGGATCAGTCTCTGTCTTTCATTTTCTTTTTCCCTTTTCTTGGGTTTTTGGTTTTTCTCTTTTTTTTTTTGGATCTTTTCTCGGTTCTTTTTACCTCTCACTATTCACAGGATGGATGAGACAATCCATCAAGAACAGGAAAAAGCAAGCTGCCTGCGCAAGGTTAAAGGAAGACTCGAACATATTCACATATGCTCAACAATGAGACAGAAAGAGTGGAGAATAATTGTAAAAATCACCACGTAAATTAGATAAGGAGTCAACAGCCGATTGCCCTATCAGCGAGCATGAGGCTATGTCAGGATCCAACATCGTCTTTTGCAGATTAAGGCTCAGATCTAGTGTCCGAGACCCTGGAAGGAGGCCGATACCGGAACACTGATCTGCCAACAATGTTCTTGATAGGAAGCGGTCAGAATTCATAGTAATCAAAACTGCGAATGACCCTGCATGTATCAAAACTTCACGCGTCAGAATTCATAGTAATCAAATCAAGCGAATGACCATCGCATACACAAATATACAACAAAAAATGATAATCACTCTGCTCAACTGCGAAAACTAAACAGAACCAAGCTCCTAACGTTCTGAAAACAACTAAAATAATAGAAGGTGCATACAAAAGTTGCAAAATTCTCTATTCCCCCAGATGCAATTTACTCGATTTATCACTTTACACAAGGAGTAGGAATTAGCGGAAGACTCAAAACTCACCAGTTATGGGAGTCAAAGCTGTTGTTCCTCTCGTCTCCCATTACAAATACATATCCTTCAGGAATAAGCTGCAATTGAAACGGTCAGAAAGCTTGATCAAAATGTCGGCTGTGTGATGCTATTAGCAAATTAAGTTGGTATGACTTCAAATTAGCATCGCCAATGTTTCCATCTCATAAGAAAGTGGCTCTAAGATGGAAATCTTCATCTTGAGCAGCACTGTTCACCAATAGTTTACCATCGCGAACCTACAATAAAAACCACCAGGCATTCAGAATTAGTACAAAGAGAAACGTAGTTGTTACGCGCATGAGAGTGGACAGGAGGGTACATGTAAAAAACAAGTCGGAATAAAAGGGGCAGGATTGAAGATAAAGACTTACTTCAACGTAGTCCCCAGCCTTTGCCACAAAATCATGGATCTTGGTTCGCGTTTTTTGGCATTTCCACTATCAAAAAAATCCAATCCCGCAAAGGATTGTTCGTGGAACTACTATCGAGATTCTTCGGACCATATTTCCTAGTATCATCCTGATGTTCATTGCTATACCATCATTTGCTCTTGTCAACAAGGCTTCGCACAACTAAATACTAACACACTGTTCTGAACTGAACCAACTTCCTGCATGCCACAAACAAAGCAAGAAACTAATAAGCAATGTGCAAATTTTGCGGAGCAATCACAACTTGGTTAACCGCAATTTTTCAAATACTATTAAAAGAAATCTGCAATATTGGCGGTGCCTGGAACAATAATAGTATATCCGAAACCTCTGGCTTTCTGAAAGGGTATGAAACCTGGTGCCAACAGACAGCAAACGCCACCACAACAAGTCGGGTCAGTATCATTAAACACATTAGGTCTTGACACGAAGCAGATCCCCGAATGCAAACCATTTGCAAGTGGACGCAAATTGCAAACTTCGCCGTAACTGGAGGAGGTGCGGGTGAATCGGGCCTGGGAGTCGCCGTAACTGCTAGTTTTAGTAAAATCTACGGTTCTGGGTATCGCACAAAATCGAGTTTTTGCTACGAATCCGATGATGGGTGATTCCGCTTTCTCTCTGTCGATTGAGAGAGAGAGAGAGAGAGAGAGAGAGAGAGAGAGAGAGAGAGGAATGGATCGAATGCTGTGAATATGGCGGCAAAAAAAAGGCAAGTGCGGGAGGATGACGATGGAATCATCCAGCATCCACCTCACCTCAAACGTTAGTCTTTCCTAGGTGTCGCAAAAAAGATCTTGTCGGACGGGAGATCGATGCCGGTGCCATTTAATGTTAACGTTATATCATTCGGTCATGCCGCCTCGTATGGCGAAGATTTAACCATGGCCGATTTTCTGAAATAATTATATTTCCGTACCCTTCTTTTATATAGGCTGGGCTGATGAACTAAAATCCCAATCACCACTTCCAGCGACGTTCCACGTTTTCGATAAAATCTTTTCTAACCATTGGCTTAATTCAAAGGCAACATGCCGACCAACCGATAGCAACGAGTGAATCTCGGCTCATGCTCCTCCACCGGAAGAGATTTTCAACCGGCAAATCTCATTTCTTTTTTTGTGGAGCTTTTACTCCTCGAACGTTCATTTTTTGTAAAAATATATAATTGTTAAAGCAATGTCACCCTGGTTGCAGGTGGATTCTCGGAGGCCATGCATATTGTATAATGCTGCCGAATGAAGAGTAATGGAGAGCATTTGCATCCAGACCAGACTCGCCCTCCGTGACAAATGACTTCAACGCATGGTGTTCCTTTCTTTTGATAGGGATGGGGTATACGGTTTACGCTAAGTCAAGTCATACAAATGAAGGCGAAAGAGAGAATCCAAGATGCGGAAGTACACGTATTCAAGCTGATTTGGGATGCATTCGATTTTGAACACGCAAATCTCAAATGTGTTTATAGGCATACACTTACAGATCAAAAGAAAAATTCAGATGATCAAGAACTAGATGCAATATTGACGATACTTTTATTAAGAAAATAAATACAAGTGGCAAAGAGATGGGAAGACATACACTCCATGAACATGTGATGATAATTGATACAATACAATAAGATATTGCCTCCTCTCTATCGTGCATCGACAAATTAACGCAGCAAAACATATGCAATATAAACCATACAACCTCTCGTGTTAGTTCCTATATAGTTAGGAATACTAATGCTCTCGTTCGGTGCATGATCAGCCGTCTAGCGGATTGAGCACCTGACCCACAAACAACACCGTGCCAGTCATATCCTCTCTCACCATGAACAGGAACGGGTGATCGGCAACAAAGTCTATCTTCTCTGAAAAAGCCAAACCCCTCAGCTTAATAACCCCAGCAGAAGCGGCGGCTGCTTCTGTTCCTTCTTCGTTAACTTCAATGAAGGATTTGTGAAAGATGCTCGAGACATAGAGATTCTTGCCCTCGAGAGAGTCCACCATCTCCGTTAATCCTCCTTCACCCGAAAATGGCAATACCAATCCCAACTTCTTCAGATCTTCTGAAGCTTCAAACCCAAAGGATATCTTGAATCTCGGGATTCGGAATTCCCCCACTTCCACTTTGTTGTAAGGAAGATGGCGATTCAGAAAGCCAGATTCAGAACCGACTTTCTCCACAAGAGCTAGGAGTCCATCTCTTGCATCTGGAAGAAATAAGTACATTGAAAAGTGACGCTTGTCCTCCCCTTGCTTATAAGGAAGTCCCAAGACTTTAAAACCGTCGTAAGCCCCAAGGATCTGCTTGTTCTTACTAGTCATGAAGGGAACTTGAACAGAATTCCCATTGAGAAGGAAAAAGTCATTGTCCTTTGTCTTCGAAGGGTCAAACTTGTCATTCCAAGCACCCCTGAAGTAAAGGGCATTCGCAAAAATGAGTCGGGTTGAACCGTCGACTGAGCCAGCCGGGAGAACCTCCTTTATGAGCCCACTGGTCTCCTTCTCAGCCCACGTATTAACCTCGCTAGTCACCTCAACAGCCTAATGTTTCTTCTAATCAGTACATAGAATACTAGATGACACAAAAAGCGAGCAGCTAAAGCCAATTGTTGAACAAATAGAAAGGACAGTCATGTAAGAACTTAGAAAAGATTGCAGTTCAATTGAAATCCGAGCCATTTAAGGAAGGATGAAAGTTACGGGTCAATACTAAAGTTAATTAGCACAGAATCACATTCTCAACCATGACTTAAGAAAGAACAAAAGCATCAGTTTCACAACTTAAATAGTACAGAGGAACCATTGATATAGAAAATTAGGCAACAAAGGAACATTAGAGAACCAAGAAAATAATTGGGACGAAAAACAAGGGTAACCCCGTCAGCAAAGAAATCCCCACAAAAAAGGGTCACCCTATGTTTCTGTAACTCCATGCACCAGCAAAGTGAAAGACTGATATTCAAATAAAGGACTACTGAAAGTCCTACCAAAGGCAACATACTAGTAATCATGGTGCATATCGAGAGTCTGACTAGTCGAAATTGCACTAGAAGTATTTGACTACAAAAGATGTTCTTTAACATGTTGATTGCATGATAAGTCAGTTCTCCAAGATCCTTAAGTTAGCAGTGCGTGGAATCCAGTAGCAAAAGCTGCAAAACTAATCTCCAATTACATTTTCCAGAAACATCTACAATGACACATCTCACTCTAGTCTACAGCCATACTGAAATTGCTTGATCATGACAAGTATGCAAATAACCAATTAGATATAACGGTGTAAGCTACGGTTGGGGATCGCACAGCTAGAGGGCAATGTATTCTGCAATATCTATGCTTAATCATTAAGATTTCTCTATATTTATATGATCTATGGTTATGGTAAGAACTAAGAAGTGCACAGGAGCCAGATGCAATATCAATATTGCCTCCGCTACAAACGCCCATGCAGTTAATCTGTGGAAAATCAGTACACTGACGATGAATGGGAAGGTGAGGAGGGTAAGACTTGTTGCGCTAGCAAATTACATTCCCGGAACATAAAGATACGTCTTTAACATGCTTATAATATGACAGAGAATAGGAGATCCTTGTAAATGCACGAACAGGGCAAAATCGAGGTCCCTTCCAACTTGATAGCTTCAAATAACATCATCTAAAGCGCTAATCAAGTAAATTTTGCACGATTTTTTGGGAGAACCAATTGACCGACGCATCTAGATTGAACTTTTTTCATTTGAAGCTTACCAAGACTTGGTGACTATTCATCAATTTACCCTTTTTATGTTCATCATGTAGGCCTCTAACACAAGGTTACAATGAGCTCAATCTAGGGGATTTACATATTGGTTGTGCATGTTTGGAGTATAGTTCACACCCAGAAGAAATCCAAAGCAAGCCAACAATAAAGAGCTAATGCCTTGACCAGACCAAAGAAACCAAGAAAGCCGCACACCTGTTCGACCCAAAAAACAGGAAAAGAGGCAAGAACTAACCTTGGTTTTGAAATCAGCTAGGTTAGTGGCCGCCTTATAAGACGCGTCCACCACCTGTTTGAAAGAAGGCCTGAGAGGCAACGACTTATCGATCCAAACGCCGTTCGCGAAAGACAGCTTCGGCCCGCCGGCGCCACCGCCGTCGGCGAGCACGACGGCGACGAGCTGGGAAGCTAAGGAGTTGAGGTGGTCGGCGGACTTGGCCCTGAGGAAAGAGAGGAGCTGGTCCTGGGTGGGCCCCGCGGAGCCGGCGGCGATCAGGCCGAGCACGACGTGGATGGAGAGTGGGGAGAAGACGAGGTTGGAGTCCTTGGCCCGGGTCGAGAGGAGCTGCTTGGAGATGGCGAGGGCGACGTCGGTCTGGTCGGCGATCGATTCACGGAGGTCCATTTTTTCTCGGCAGCTGTGTGTGAACGCGAGAAGAAACGCGACTTCTCTGGTTGCGAGCGAGAGAGAAAAAAAGAGAGAAAGGTCGAAGAATAAGTGCGACCGACGCATTGCGGTGGCACCATCTTGTGCTTTCCGAGAATCTGCACGGCATTTGCGTCGCGGTCTCCCTCTCGGGCTTAGAATGGGTTTCTGCACGATGGCCCATCTTTGTTCGGACCAGGAGGCCCCTGTGGGATCTGCTCGCAGGTTGTATCTGTCTATGGGCCGAGGGAACTTGACGGAAGAATCGAAACAAGTCCATGCCACAAGCCAGTTGTGCTGTGTCACGTAACCCATGTTAATCGGAGAATCGGTCAGAAGAAATCAGAACCGGGGATCGACAACGCGATCGCACTGCTACTGATACGACGAGTCGATGAGTATGAATGGATACTTCTTGGCTTTTGCTACGAAAGCTGTTGCTCCTTCACTTGGACGCTCTTTGAGATGAAAACGGAGAATGGTTAGCTCAGCTACGTTCTACTCTTAAACGAGGAACAGAGTTTACTTGTTTGAGGGTTTTGTGATCCTTGACCCCGGGATTTGTATCTCAACCAGTCTCTGAAAATGCCCAGAAGTATCCATCTAAGAGTAAAAAATTTTTGTGCAGCAGGCCTTTTCCCCTCTTTTACAAGTCAGTCCCGGGACTTCAAAGCCGTCGTAGACGTTGATGAGACGGGGCTCGCACTGAGATTCCGTCGGGAAGGGAAAAAGTCGTGGTCCTCTGTCGGCGGCTCTCCGAACAGGTCCGTACCAAGAGGCCTCGAAGTAGCGCGCATTAGCGAAAGTAAGCCGAGCTTCGCTGTTGACCGGCACTACAAAAAAATATGATTTTTGCGACGAAAAATTTGCAAAAATCGGAAAAAAATTCGTCGCAAAATTTATCGCAAATAATTCGTCGCAAAATCCATCGCAAAGTTCGTCGCAAATAATTCGTCGCAAAAATCGTCGCAAAATCCATCGCAAAGTTCGTCGCAAATAATTCGTCGCAAAAATCGTCGCAAAAATCGTCGCAAAATCCGTCGCAAAATTCGTTGCAAAATTCGTGGCAAAATCCGTCGCAAATTTCGTGGCAAAATTCGTCGCAAATCGAATTTGCGACGAATTTTGCGACGGAAAAAATTCCGTCGCTACTAGGTCGTCGCAAATAATTCGTCGCAAAAATCGTCTCAAAATCCGTCGCAAAATTCGTGGCAAAATCCGTCGCAAATTTCGTGACAAAATTCGTCGCAAAATTAGCCACGAACTTTATTCGTCGCAAATTAGCCACGAACTTTATTCGTCGCAAAATTCGTCGCTAAAATTGCCACCAAATTTTTTTACTTTTGCCATGAACATTATTCATGAACAAATTTAGCGACGATTTTTTATTAATTCTTTAACGACGAACTCTGCAACGAATATCGTTTAGGGACGAAATTAGCGACGAAATTTTAATTTTGCAACGAACTTTTGTAATTTGTGATCGTACGATAAAATCATTTATTTTATTTTTTTGATTTTAAACCTAATTAAAAGAAAAATTAATTTTTGGAATTTATATTTAACATTGATTAAACACTTAATAACATCAAAATATTATAATAATATGAAAATGAAATACATTCATCTACATTTTCCACAAGAATGACATAAATATTTTTCTTTATAGTACACATAATGAGAGAATAAATAATCTTGCACAATAACTAATCTTTGCACAATAAATAATGACGACAGAAATGAATCAAAAAATAATATCCTGCTTTTAGCGACAACACCCATCATATAACTACTGAACAAAGACACAGTCCATGTGAGATGCTCACTTCCTGCTCCAGTTTTAACAAATGCCGGTTGAAATGTTGCTGCAACCTCTCATTTGCATAACTTATGCAGAATTGCTCAAAGCTGTTCTTCTACAAAACATAAATTGTCTGGAATTAGACACAAAATTAGTGACATTGTTTCCACATTAAATGTTAATATATTCAGCTTCTAAAGGATACATAATGACTGTACACGGCATAGATTGTGAGGATATGAAAAGTGCAAGGCGTTCATGGCTCAATGTGAATGATATACCTGCATGTACATGAATATTGGATCTAAGCAAGCTTACAAACTCAAAAGCACATTAATAGCAGACATCGAGTTAAGTCTTTAAGAGAAAGCCTCGAAGCCATTACCTGCAAGGATGATTACAAGAGCTGTTGTCCAAAAACTTCCATAAAACCACAAGAAGACAGTGCCACAAAGTGCAAGCAGCAAAAGTGCAGCGGCAAACCCCACAAAAATACCCACAAGAACATCATTGCACCTGAATGAATGCAAACTTCAGTCAGTAAAAAGGAATGCAGCAGAAGCAAAAAGTGCTTAATAGAGTTATTCTGAACATTTCAGAAAGAGCAACTGAGGAATGAATTCTAGGAACATAGACAAAAGAGGATGTGTATCTTACTAGATAAAATCCAGCAACAATACCGTGTGGCTCCAAGGAGTTTGGAAGTGACAACAGGTAATACTCTATGCTTATTTTGATTTCTTCTACTTTGACAGGAAGAAGGAGGAGTTGCACATATTTATAAGCTCAGTTCAGGATGAAATATTGACATACAAACATGAATGGATCCAGGGTAACAGGTCATGTCAGGATGGGAAAGGATAACTTGAACCAGCAATACAATAGGAAGTCAATAAAAGTAGCTTGTGAAGTGATGAGTGACTTTTCGACCTAAAAGGAAAAAAGTGATGAGTGACTTACCGAGACCACAAGAAACTTTACCATGCCGACCATAGCGATAGCTGAGAAAATTCCACACCATATGATAGAAAAGAAAGATGTAGTCCCCATATGTAGGAAAGAATCGATTCCCCTAAGAGTGCAATCCAACCAAATCATTGATAAGAGAAACATTATGTTCCCAAAGTATACAAGCCATTTCAAAACAACCTGGTAGGCCAGCTCAATCTTCACTTTGACATAGTCACGAGCCTTTAGTATGTCACCTTTTAAATTAATGACAAAAGGTCTTTGTGACTCTAGCCACTCTCCAGCTGCCTTTAGGACACACAAAACTGATCTTCTCACATTTCTAACAACTAAATTGTCAAATATGTGGACATTTTCTATTAGATTTGTTATATGCCCATTCAGCTTGCAGCCCAGGCCACCTTTTCGGCTATTTTGACAATTATTATCACAATGTAGTCCACCTTGTTCTCTCTCGTGGGACATGCCCATAGGAGATGCATTTTGAATATAATCCCCTGAAGATTCCCCAGACAGAACTGGGTGCTCTAATCCCTGAGCTGCATCTGTCCCTTGTTTATCCATACTCATTAGTTTCCCAGTTCCTTGACTCATGCTCTCAGCCGACACGTTGCTCGAGTGATGACTGTTCACAGTTGTCTCTTTAGGAGGAATCTTCACGTCAGCAGCTTGTCTTCTTTCTTGATGTGTTTCTGAACCCTTCTTTTTGCCATTCTGTGAGGAACGACTAACCCCATTCTTCTGCTGATTGCCCTTCCTAGCCATGAGTCAATATCCTAGGAGATTCTTCCTGGGTTAGGATACCAAGTTAATACATCCCCATCAATCAAAGTTGGCTTGCCATGCTGATAAGTGTTTTACTGCCATACCATCACCCATATTAAAACAGATGTCAGAGCTTATCTACCATCATTTAGGAAAAATAAGATGCCAACCTCGTTGACAGAGCACACTCCACAACTTCAAGAAAAGCTTGGTCAAGAAGTTTATGCACCTAAAATCGTAATTTATACCTTCCAAAGAGATGCATTTTACAAACTGTAAAGACCTAAAAACACAGTAACATTGTTTTTTATTTTTTAATTTCAACGCAGTAGCTTCTAGTTATAATTACAAAAAAGCAAGGGAAAAAAAATCAAAGGTGCTAGAAGTTTTGAGAAATCCATGGTCTAAACCCTCCAAAATCACTTGAAGCAGGGGGGAGCCAATTCCAAACTGAATTACAGGTCAGAACGACTTCACCAAGCAAGCTCTGTTACCAAAGGCGACTCAACAGTCACTTAGCATAACAAAAGTTGCAAGCTTCCGCTATTTAACCAATACTCCTCTGGGAACCACAGACATAGGTAAGAACTTTCAACGGAATCGAACTGAACACATTCCCAAGTAAAGAAAAGTGTAAATTCAAGACCCAACAACCAAAAAGTTTACTTCCCCGAGAGCATTGCAAAAGCTCCGAATTTGAACACTCAGCCCAGTAATTCAGCTAACAGAACCCCGCTGGATACGAAAATCAAAAGCCAAGCAACACCACTGTCGCACCCAGAAACATCGCTTGAAATTCAGCACACAACACTGGCACTAAAATCACGAATTACAACACCAGAACCCCCTTTACCCCAAACTACACCCGAAACAGTCGAGAACGAGCAGGAACGCAGCTAGAATCGAGCAATCAGGCACCCGAGAGAACGGGAGGAGCACGCAATCAAACGAACGAGCCGGGAATCGGGTGCAAGAATCACGGAACGCGACGACCCCATCCAGCGAACACCAACCGGAACACCCAAAGGGGAAGTACCTCGAGGCCAGCTCGGCGGCGCCGCCCCCCAATTCGGACGAGGGAGGGAGGGGGGCGAGGGAAACACGGGGGGGCGAGGGAACCCGAAGGGACGCGGGGCCCAGCTGCTGCTGCTCCTCCTCCTCCTCCGCGGCGGCGCGTCCTCTCCACCATCATCGAAGCTGCGGTGCGAGGGGTAGGTTCTATATCTAGCGAGGGGTACAGCGAGTGCAGATCTGATCGAGAGACGAAAGAGGGAGAGGCAGGGAGAACAGCGAGTGCAGGGAGGATCTGAGGAATCAGCAGAGAGAGAGAAGAGAATGGCGGGTGAGGGCGGGCAAATTGGAAGTGAGGGCAGGGAACGCGAAATTTTGCGACGGACAACTTTTTCCGACGGACTTCTTCTTTGTCCGTTGCAAATTAGTGATGGACAACTTTGTCCGTCGCTAATTTTAGTGTACGGACTTTTTTTTTCGTCGCTAAATTCAGCGACGGACTTCTTTGTCCGTCGCAAATTAGCGACGGAATTTTTTTTCTGTTGCTAATTTTAGCGACGGACCAAAATGTTCGTCGCTAATTTTCCAAGGCTCAATTTATTTTTTATAGTGTAATTTTGTGATGGATTTTAGTCCGTGCCTGATTAGCCACGGATTTACCCACGAAAATAAAAAATAGTCGGGAAAGTGAAGCAAGAGTTTATTTTCGTCGTTAAATCCGTGGCTAATTAGCTACGGATTTAGCGACGACATTTTAAAAATAATTAACAAATTCAATTTTTTTGCAAAAATAAAAAAGAGAAATAAAAAATAATTAAGAAATTCGATTTTTTTAAAATAAAAATATTTAAAAATTCTTTTATTTTTTTGATCTAAAATAAAGTCATGAGATTGAAATCATTTTCCAATGAAATCCAAACATCAGAAAACGATTTCCATCATATATCACCAAACGAATGAAAACTAAACGTATTCATGGAAAATGATTTTCCGAAAAACACTTTCCTTTATCATTAAGTTTTCCGCAAAATAAACGTACCCTTAGAGTGATTACCAACTATTTTCGATCAAGTTACTAACTAGTTTTATGTTACCTTCTTGTATTTGGTTTTCTATTTTGAAATGACCGACTTTTCTTATCTCTAACAAAAATACATTTCTAATTTTCTACCAGCTTTGAATTTACCTTCTATTACATGAAATTATCAACTTTTTTGTGTGCCTCATTAACTTTTGCCCAATTAAGTTACCAATTAGTTTTGGATTGTCAACTCTAATTTGAGTTGCTTACCCATTTGGTTTTTTAACTTACCAATTTTTATATTGAGTCATGCTTCTTTTTGCATGACTTACTAATCCCATTTTACGATTTAATACCAATTAATTTTCTATTACTAACTGTTATTTTACTTAATTACTAACATTTATTTGATTTTTTCGTCGCTAAATCCGCGACGGATTTTTTTTTCCGTCGCAAATTTGAGTCGGATTTTTTTCCCGGCGCAAATTTGTGACGGATTTTTTTTTCCATCGCAAATTTGCGACGGATTTTTTTTTCCGTCGCAAATTTGGGTCCGATTTTTTTTCCGTCGCTAATTTGCGACGGATTTTGCTTCCGTTGCTAATTTGCGATGAATTTTGATTTCGTGGAAAATTAAGTCGCAAATTAGCGACGAATAATTTTCGTCTCTAATTTGCGACGGGAAAATAAATCCGTCGCAAATTAGCGACGAAAAATTCCCCGTCGCAAATTTTCGTGGCAAAATCCATGTTTTTTTATAGTGCGGGCTGGGAGAGAGGAGCTCCTTGTGCAGGCCATTTGCCTCTTTCTCGACCTAGGATTCACTTCGCGCCTCGCCTCATCAGCCTCGACACGGTCATTACCAGTAATACGTCGTATCGAATGGCGTACTACATAAATTCTTCTTGGATAACAGTTTGAATGCAAGCAAACATCCAGCATACAATGTTATAATGTCAATAATGTGATCCCACATTCGGTTTATTATTTCCACACTCAGTTAATTTCATTAACCTTTATTGTCCACGTTATGTTGCTGCGTGATAATTGTCCATTAAATTGTGACCGCCTAAAAGACACGACTTCTTGATGGAAGAAGTCGTATGAAAGGGGGTGAATGGATATAAAGGGGTCTTCTAAGCCAAACCTCTCATTATTAGAAAACACACATTCACGTTCAAGAGAGCAATTGGCTAGAAATACCCTTCACTGACCGTTCGACGCTTGACGACTCATGTTATCAATCAAACTTCATCAATGTCTGGAGGTTAGTACAGACTTATTCACGTTTCCACATTCGATCTTGATTATGCATAAGTTTTGTTCATCCATATATAATCGGGTCTTCTGTCCCTTTAGTATTATCTAACATACAAAGGCAAATTAATATTAGTTGATACTAGTTCTTGGCTTTGTTTACTCCCCAGACCGACAAGAAACTACATGCAAACATCATATAATGAAAAAGAAACATTAATTAGAGATAAAATTAACTATATAACCATCAGTTTTATGATACATATGTGATCAGTTTCACTTATAAATTTCATGATAAGACACCGAATCCTTTTGCAGTATTGAAATTATTCATATAACTTCATAAGAAGTAACGTAAGAATTTTGGATGTATCCTGGATAATCTAAAATTCATAACTTTTTTATGAGTTAACAGAAATTTATTAGATCTTGAAAAGCAACTAACTTTTTTTTTAGGGCCAATACACATTAATTAGTTACCATGCATGAACATCTTCATTTATCAAAGATCTGCTCTCCATAGACACTATCTTGATCAATACTTAATATAGAAGGAAAAAAATCATATTTAATGAGTCGCATAAGTGACGATAGGATGTAATTATTTGTTTTACATTGAATTTCTCATTAACTTTACTTGTAATCTTTATACTTTAATGATTTTCTCTCAAATCATATATTAATGTGAGTATCATCATTGATGGTTGATATACTCGTCCTTCGTGTTTTGAATTAGAAAGTGATTTTTTAAAGTAATCGAAAGTGGCTTTTTCGCCATGACGAGGAAACTAACTTGAATATGTAAATTGTCGAGCTCTTAATATAAACCCAAAAACTTAAAGGGTCAAGTACGATATGACCAACCTAAAGAGTTGGATATGTGATTAGTACATAATTCACATAATTCATGCATATGCATCGGTTCCATAACCAATAAACTAAGAGCCCGTTTGGCAAGTTATCAAATAGTGAAAATTTCTGTTCTTTTGTTCCCAGAATCAGTTTGGGAACAGAAATCTGTTTGTTAAAATTTTTGTGCACGGATACAAATTTGCAAAAAATTGTTCCCAGAATAAGTTTTGAAACAGAATTAAGAAGCAAAAAAAAGTAGCTTCTTGATTCTGAGAACAATAATCAGAATTGGAAAAGAAATTATTTTTTTTTGTTCTTCTTCTTTCCCATTCTTTATGTTCTTCTTCATTCTCCAGCCACTAGCGACTAGTAACATAGGCGAAGGCTGGCGCGGCCCTCGCGGCCTAGGCAAGGATCGCCCTCTTTGGCCTTTTCCGGCCCTTGCCTGAGTCGGTGAGGGCCGCCCTTGAGGCTCGCAGCCTAGGCGAGGGCGGTGGCGAAAATCCAACCCTCGCCAGATCCGACGAGAGCGACCCTTGCCCAGGCCGCGAGGGTCCAGCCCTCGCCCTCGCCGGCCCCGGCCTATGGCCGGCGACCAGGCCATAGCCGATAAGGAGGAGAAGAAAAAAAAAAGAAAAAGAAATATTTAAATATTTAAAAATATTATTAATAAAAAGAAATTTTATGCAGTTACCAAATGAATTTCTGTTCTTTTTCTATTCCGGGAATGGAAATTTTAAATCGTTACCAAATGCCTTCAAATGCTCGAAATCAATTTCCGGACACAGAATAAAAAAGAATCATTTCTAAGCAGAATTAGTTCTCGAGTACAGAATTGTTGCCATGCGCACCGTAACCGAAGAACTTCTCACTTCTTTAACTTGAGCTTCAAGCTATGCAACCAATCTGAAGAAGCACTTAACCTAATTGAGAGACAGTGGAGATTGTTGTTTTGTCTGTATCAGCAGTTGAAGCTCTCTCTCTCTCTCTCTCTCTCTCTCTCTCTCTCTCTCTCTCTCTCTCTCTCTCTCTCTCTCTCATAGTGGGGAAGACCGAAGAGAAGCTGATGCTTGGGACAACTACATGCGGTTTTTGACTTTGTCTCCGCAAAGCAACTTAAGAACATTAAAATATGATTAACATAGATAAGTGCCACGAGATAAAACATGTTAAAAAGTATAATTCGCATGACAGCTTTGCAAAGGAGTTGCATAATTTGGGATGACCATGAAAAACTTTGTGCCTTGTACAAGAGTCCGAAAAACTGCGGTAGTACAACCAGTGATACAGTGCCCTCACCAGCAATAGTAATTCGAGAGCACTTAAAACTTTCTATCGTATGTCTTCTGACTACTACCGCGCTCTTGCATTACCGCAACAATCAGTCATGGCAGTAAACCGGGCATTCTCAACAGTTCCTGAGATTGGACCTATTGAGCTAGAATAGAGGATGTCGCAATCTTTTGAGGTCTTGCGGCAATATATGTGTTCAAGCTGATTATTCGTACAGTTGTGCAAAGAGAAAGTGAGAATTCAAGGTCTTGTGGCAATATATGTGTTCAAGCTGATTTGGGATATTTAATTTTGAACACGCAAAGTTCCAACGTATTAATATGCACTGATTCTTAGAGGTCGAAATAAAATTGTATTGATTAAGAACTATAAACGATATTCGAGATACTTTTATTAGGAAAAATAATACAAAAGCCGCAAAGCTGAAGTCCAAGTCTAGTCATCAACAAATAAATATTTATCAGAAGATTCCGATTTAGCAATCAGAGTTATCCTTCAAAGAAAAAACATTTTATCCCTTCGAACTGAACATTAGTTAATTCAACTCAACCATCAAATAAAGAGTTCGGCACCGTACAAGTCATTGGTATAGGGATAGGAAGACCGTAGGTGTCCATGAACATTTGATAATAATTCATTCGACGCAATAAGGTTAGCGTTTTGTAATTGTGTATTAATAGATTAATGCATTAGACATGCAATAAACCATACAACCTCTCATGTTAGTTCATATCTATTTGGAATACAAATGCTCTTAGTTGACATATGATCAGCCGGCTAGTGGATTGAGCACCTAACCCAGAAATAGAATCGTTCCGGTCATGTCCTCTCTCACCAGGAACAGGAATGGGTGGTCAGCCACAAAGTCTATCTTCTCCGGTAAACTCTTCAGCATAATACCCCCAGCAGAAGCGGCGGCTGCTTCTGTTCCTTCTTCGTTAACTTCGATGAAGGATTTATGAAA